AAAAAGCCCTAAAAAACCCCAAACAGGCAGGGTCAGGTCCCTGAGAAAGCGTTGGTGCGTGCCCTGCAGAGCTGCGGGTAACTCCCCCGGCCCCGGGGGGCGTGGTGGTATCGGTATCGATATCGATATCGAGGATGCCCGAGCAAGCCCGGGTGCCTACACGTGAGGAGACTTAAGTGCAGGCGAGGTTTTGTGTGCTTGTCCACAAAGCTCCCTCATAACCGCATTCGTGTGCACCCTGTCTATCCTCACCCTGTACCTGAAGTGGGGGTATGTGGTACAGCTGAGAATTGGGGGCTGGGTTTTGGTGTGGCATGAGCTACAACTCTGGGCAGCCTACAGGCCGCTTCTAGCTTTGATCAGTAATTGCAGTATAGCCCTTTTATGGAAGATGTAGAGCAGTTCTATAATCTTCAAATTACAAGCACAGCTAGTGCAACAAAAAAGAGTCTCCTGCTGTAGAGGTTATGCAACAGTGGGCCATGGAAAACAGCTTGTAAAGAAAACGTTTTGCATTTTTTTTTAACCTGGAAAAAATGTAGAGAGATATTTATAACTGTCTACAAATTTATAATTGTCTACAAAGATAAACTCTTCCTTTTTTCAAGTGCTGAAACTATCTTTCTTCATGTCAATGGTGCTGCAGGACTTACTGCAGTTGGCTATGCACTCACCTCCCATGGCCATTTAACCATATAGAAAGAGCACTCCTCCGGCCAGGCCCCTGAGCTGAGGGGCTTCAGTTCGTCTTCATAAACAGAAGGCACGAAACACAACAGGCCTGTGCTTTCTGCAAAATGCTTTCTCTACCTGCACTTCAAATTTTCCCATCTTTATGACTTAGCCTAATGGTCAGAAAGCAGTCGGATGAAGTGGTTTAAATAGCGATCTCCTATCTCCCTGAGAAGTGCCACGGCCAACACAGACCTAAGCTATGCTGGATGGGGTTCCCTTTTCTGTTCAAGCTGTGTAATGGCTATGAGGTTCCAGTTTCGCTGGGCTCTGCTTTGTAATCCAGCACTGGGGTTCCCCAAGAGGGAAGCAGGAAAACTGGAAGAAATCCACAGCTGCTGGAGCTGCTGAACTCACCTGGGGCTCAGCTGCAATGCTGCTCACTAGGCTGTTGTTTCTTGCAGCCATGGCTCCAGCTACTCTACTGGTGTCAGGCACGCTCACCCTTTCTGACACAGGAAGAGCTTTCTCACTGCTAACATCTCCTCTCTCTGCACTGCTGCCTCCCCTCTATCATGCTAAGCAGCTCCCTGAAAACCAGAATGGAAAATGCTCTCAGAAGGAAGATGTGCACAAGAAAACGATAAGAAAAAATCTGCCAAGTACTGGTTAGTAGCTGAGCATTCCCTCAAGGTATAGAAAATATGAGTTGTCCTCTCAGGAGCGTTTCTGTGTTTCACCTTAAAAGCTGTTAGGACTTGTCTTGGTCTCCAGTTTGCAAATTGTTCCAAGTCTCATGAGATGCATAATTATTTGTTACTAGACAAGGAGTTTGGATTTTTACAAATGTCTAATATTTACTTGTAAGTCTAAACCTTAGACCCAAAATTCTGTGGAATTTTTGCTTTTTAATTCTTAAAATTATGCACAGACTGGATTTTTCCTGGTCCTCAGAGAGCTTGCTTCTGTCGTTGTGATGTCCATGGTGATGAGCTCATGTATTTAAATATTCAAACAATAAAAACTGTTTTAGTAGTGGCAGCCATTTGGTCAAGAACAGACATAAGATAAGCACTATGAAATAGACATAACACCTTACAAGTGAAAACACTTTACACAATTCCCTTATTTAAGATTATACTTTGTAAGCCTTGTTATCTATTAAAAATCTGATTTGGTACCTTTCCTGCCAAGCCTACAAATTGTTTTAAGTCCTGTATTACTTGCCTGTGTTTGTGTACACGCACATTCAGGGTATTATTAGAGTCAACGGCTGCGTAAGTTTAAACTAAAGTACAACTGAAATCCCTGTAATGTTGAATTAAACTAAGCTCATATAAATCAACTATACTGAACATTACAGACAAGGGGTTGTGATCATTCATCTAAGTAAGGGAAAGAC